TAGAGAACTTGCAGCCTGTGGCCTATCATCCCAGCTACCTGGGTTGGGGTGGGGATGGTGGCTGAGGCAGGAGGATCACAAATTCAGGGACTGCCTGGGCTACAGAGTTCACATCTAACCTGGGCAACTTAGAGGGATTCTGTCACAAGATATAAAGGTCAAAAAGGGACTGAGGACATTGCTCAGTGGTAGGACACTTGCCTAGGTATGCGAGAGGCTCTTTGACTTTGAAGTAAATGCCACCAAGGCATCATCTGACCTCTATCCACCCCATGGAGGGGAGAGCTCTACTCCTGCTCCTCCACCGTGTTGCGGATTTGGGGTTCATTCATTATTCAGTGTCACCCTGGGGGAAAATCCACAGACTGAGTATTCACGGCCAGCCTGAAGGGCCTTGCTGGTAATGTTGACTTGTGCCTGTGAGGGACCTTGGGAAGCCTGAGGCCAAGGTAGAGAGGGCTGCCACGACCCTGTGTCACCTCCTTTGTTTGATCTTCTCTTTCCAGGGAGGAGTCACACCTTCGTCGTCCTCGGTGAGTGGGGGCGGGGATTGAGAAGAGGCAGCTGAAGACAGAGGGACCCCAGGCTTCTGGGGGTGACAGGGCGCAGAGAGGGGCCTGGGTGGGAAGCCCCACAGTGGGTGAGGGACAAACACTCCATGCAGACAGAGCTTAGGTGGGAAGTTTTATTGGGGGAAGGGGAGAGAGCAGGGGAAGGGAAGGGAGGGGAGAGAGAAAGACACACACACACACACACAGAGAGAGAGAGAGAGAGAGAGCGAGAGAGAGAGGAGCGAGAGAGACAGAGAGAGAGAGCGAGAGAGAGAGGAGCGAGAGAGACAGAGAGAGAGAGCGAGAGAGAGAGGAGCGAGAGAGACAGAGAGAGAGAGCGAGAGAGAGAGGAGCGAGAGAGACAGAGAGAGAGAGCGAGAGAGAGAGGAGCGAGAGAGACAGAGAGAGAGAGCGAGAGAGAGAGGAGCGAGAGAGACAGAGAGAGAGAGCGAGAGAGAGAGGAGCGAGAGAGACAGAGAGAGAGAGCGAGAGAGAGAGGAGCGAGAGAGACAGAGAGAGAGAGCGAGAGAGAGAGGAGCGAGAGAGACAGAGAGAGAGAGCGAGAGAGAGAGGAGCGAGAGAGACAGAGAGAGAGAGCGAGAGAGAGAGGAGCGAGAGAGACAGAGAGAGAGAGCGAGAGAGAGAGGAGCGAGAGAGACAGAGAGAGAGAGCGAGAGAGAGAGGAGCGAGAGAGACAGAGAGAGAGAGCGAGAGAGAGAGGAGCGAGAGAGACAGAGAGAGAGAGCGAGAGAGAGAGGAGCGAGAGAGACAGAGAGAGAGAGCGAGAGAGAGAGGAGCGAGAGAGACAGAGAGAGAGAGAGGGAGAGGGAGAGGGAAAGAGACAGAGACAGAGAGATGGAGAGAGAGAGAGAGACAGAGAAAGAGGCAAAGACCTGCCTGCCTCTTGAGAGGAACAGCTGGACAGAGAGATTGGGAGTGGGTGGAGCTTGTCTCTTAAAGGGACCTTTTGCACCTGGGTACAGAGCCAGGGCACTGCTTGCCAGGCATGTAGGGGTGACACACTCTGCCAGGTCCCTGAGGGGTGGGGCCAGGTGTGCCTGGATGCCAACAGAGGTAACAGAGCGATGTCCACTCAGCCATTACCCTTGTCTTACAGGCTTCCCGGGCACAACCTGGCCTGCTGAAGTGGCTGAAGTTTTGGTAGGTAAGTGTCAGGGAAGCCACACATGGCCGGATGTCAGCAGTAGAAGTGGCCATCTCTCGGGCAGGCTGGGAGCTGGGCATTCCCTTGGGCCTCAAGGAGCAGGAGCATCAGCAGCAATCAGGTTTCTGAGGGGTGCTTACTGAAGAGGGATGAGGGAGAGCACCCCACTTGTGGGGCCTGAAGAAAGATTCTTTAGAAAACGGTCAGGACACATTGGGACTGTGTGTGAGTGAGGGAATGCTGTCTGTGGGTGAAGGGCTGCAAGGGGGGGGGGGGAGTCTACAAAAGCACAGAACCAAGGAGAAGGCTGGCCTGAGGTACTTACGGACAGTGAGCCTTCCAGGAGACAAAGGTTCAGAGGCTCGGTGAAGTGAGGCCCCAGGATGGACGTCCGTTTCCCTTGGCGCTGTTTCGTTTTTCCGTTTTTGAGACACGGTCTCTCTGTGTAGCTTAGGGTGGTTCTGAACTCCTAATTCTCCCAGGTGCTGGTGGCACAGGTGGCACACACCACCATGCCTGGCCTGGAAAGTGGTTACTGAGTACCCCAGTGAGACCACAAAATTTGTTTTATATAGAAGTAAAAGTGGCCAGGCAGTGGTGGCGCAAGCTTTTAGTCCCAGCGCTTGGGATCTCTGTGAGTTCGAGGCCAGCCTGGTCTACAGAGAGAGTTCCAGGACAGCGGGTCACAGAGAGACCCTGTCTAAAAAACAAACAAACAAACAAACAAAAAAAGACTACAAGTGAGGTGACTGAGGGTGGACAGGCAGGAATGTTCACAAAAGGGTTTGTTCTCCATCGATGTGGGAGCGGCTGTGTTCTAGCATTTGTTTTTCTCCTCCTTTTGTGTTTTTTTTTTCTTCTAGAAAATTCCTTCTAGTTACCGATGACGCTTCACGAACACAGGTCTTCAGGGAGCTTGACTGTACTTACCCACAATCCTCTCTGCTGTGACAGACCTGCCTGGGCATCGACATCCCCCAGCAGCCCACCTGGGGACCTGGTCCACTTGTCCTCACCCTTCCCATTCAGCTGTGGTGTCTGGGAGACAAGTCAGCCTCACTGGATAGCCAGCCAGCTTCTTCACCGTCTCCCGTTTGTGACGGGAAGTTCCCCTGACAACGCAGTAGGAACTTCCTGCTTTATCTCTGTGGAAATAAAACACAACCTCTTTTGTTTTCCTGAGACTTTCTCAACTTGTCTTTCTTTAATACCACTCTCCTGACCTGGGTGTGGGGGAGTGGGGAGGTGTGTGGATGGCTGAGAACCTTTCTCCCCAGCCTGGAATGAAAGATGTGTGGCTGGAGAGAGAAGAGACCCGGGCTTAGGTTTGGGTAGCCCGGGTCTCAGCGAGTGCAAGCGTCTCCATCTGCGAAAACAATTTTTGCCTAACATACAAATACCACGTTTACTGCAGCTGTAGGTGTTTGATGGCCTGAAACGGCAATAGGCCAACGGCTCAAACTAGGGGGTTGGAATCAGTAGGCTGTTCAAAATGACAGGCCAGCTCCAGGGGTGGGGACACACAGGAACCGGGCCGGACAGGCCAGCAAGGACTGGTGGAGAAATGTTGGGGCATGTCATAACACTCCTGGTTGGATGGGGACTGGCAGATGGTGGCAGCATTTAGGAAGCTAGGGAGTGAAAGGGAAGCCAAAGCCACTCACTACCTTGCTATGTAACCAGGGCTGTGACACTGGGGAAAGAGGCAGGGGCCCTGCACACAGGCTGTGGAGGCCCTGGGACCGGGCCGGACGGTTCTGTGTTTCATGGAACTGAAACGGGGTGCCCAAACGGAGGAGGTCCCCCATCACTGTCCTCCCACCACCCCCGATATCCACGGAGGGGAGCAGGAAGTAAGAGGAAGGCAAGAAACCCTGCCATTTTAGTGAGTTCTGTGTCATTTGCAAGTTACCTAAGTGCTTGGCCGCACTGTCCTCTGTTGTAGTTAGACACAGGGCCTCCAATAAGTTGTGAATCAGTGACAGAAACCCGGCCCTAAGCTGACTCAGGAGAGCCACCCGATCAAAGCCACCTTCCGGAGCGGAAATTGTGGCCTTACTTCTTTGCTCTGTCTTCTCCTGAACTTGATTCTTAAATTGAGGCTCTGGGCTGTTATCAACTATATGGAGGGCCTTGCAGTATCGCATCACAGCCACACGGGGGCGGACGAGGGGACGTCCCCGGGAGAAGCGGTGCGAATGGGGAAAGGTTGGGAACCCAGGTTCCCTGGGGCCAATTAACGGGGATCAAGATAGCTCCTGACTCTTAGGTGATGTTCCCGGTCCTGTCGAGTTCAGCGTGAGGCTGTGTGGTGCAAGGGGCCCTCCAATAAGGGGCAGCGGGCCCTTCCTCCTAGCTGGCCCTTGGTTTTTGCTGGAGCTCTGAAGTCCCAACTTTCAAGCTTCTCATTGGCCCTAGACTGGGCCTTCAAAGTCAAGGATCTGGTGGGAGAGGCTCTGGAGGTGACAGGGTGGTCCCGGTTGATATCTCTGGCCTCTTTCTCCCTGCTTCTCCCCACGGAGGTGTGTCTTCAGCCTTCTTTTTACTTTTCTCATTAATTTGTTTTTCATGATGCTTATTGTGTGTATGTGTGTGAGCGTGCAAACCCACACACGCTGTGCACAGCGTGTGTGTGTGTGTGTGTGTGTGTGTGTGTGTGTGTGTGTGTGTGTGTGCGCGCGCACACTGGAGATACTGTCTAGAAAGACAAGAGATCTGCATATTAGGAGAATAGATGAAGCGACAATATGCCTGATGCCCTGATGGCAAGCCCCCTTACCCACTGAACCAACCTTCAGGCACTACTGGGTTTTATTTCCAGACAGGTTCTCATCTGTTTTCCCCATGCTGGCTCTGCCTCAGGCACCTGGTCCAGCTCAGTCTCTCCTCACCCTCGGTCTTTCTTTGTTTCTTTTTGGAAGTCGGTTCACAGGCCCCTCCCTGGGTCCTCTTCTCTGCTGTCCTCCCAGCACCTGTTACCATCACTCTGTAATTGTTTGTTTTGTTAGGCGGCTCTCCGCCTCCTCCAGGGGTGCAGGAATGGAAGGGCTGGCCGTCTTGTCTTTCTTGACTTCCCATTAGGGAGAAATTCAGTGTCTGTCTGCTCAAGATATCTTTATGGCTTACCCAGTGGGAGGAGGGTTTGGAGTTGAGTGGGGCCGATCCAGGAAGTCTTCCTGGGAGAAGTTTAGGCAAACGGCTTCCAAGTGGGAGGAGGGCCTGCTGTTTCCGGGAGTGTGGCAATAACGGCTCTGGCTGGAGATTTGTCTTTCCCACCCTGATGCCCCACACCCTCTCCTGAGACTCCAGGCCCCCTTCTCTCTCCAGGGATGTCCCCGTTTGTCCCCACAGTCCCCGAGTATCTGGTGTCCATCCCTTTAATCACTCAACTCCGGTCCCCAGGAGGCTGGCTCGCTCCTGCCCCAGGATGCCATCACGATGTAGCAATCAGGGCTGGGCCTCACCTCCTACCCAAATTCAAGTTCTGTCACATTTGGGGCGGGTGGGGGCAGGCGGTAAGAAAGCAAGGGTTTACTGATGTTCTCAGAGAAGGAACGGGAATAGCTAGACCTGGAGATGGGGTTCCAGAGTCTGTGGGACCCCATCACTTTATGTATTCATTCAAAGCAGAGTGGGACCCTGGGAGACTTTCTTTGACCCCTCCCTGCTCCGTGACTGAACTGTTGTGACCCCCCTTACTGAGAGCTACCTGCCCCTCTCCCCACTCCATTGGACACTGGACACTTGGGGGGCACAAAGTCATCAAGGCAGTGTGGATGGAGGAAGGGGAGGGGCGTGGAGAGGGAGCCTCACTTCAGTGCTTAACATAGAAATCACTTTTCTCCTGAAAACTCATCAGGGAGCCTAACCTATCTTTCCAGCGGCTTGGGAGGCTGAGGATGGAAAGTTCAAGGCCAGCCTGGGAAGCGTGTGTGTGTGTGTGTGTGTGTGTGTGTGTGTGTGTGAGAGAGAG